AGAGACCAACAACCCTGTACAGATGATCCACCACCTCATCCCACAAGACTGTCATCCATTGTGACAATCTTCCAAGTTATGGGAAGAAACAACTTTGCCATGGTCAATGCAGGGGATATCAAATATCAAACACCATGGCATTCAAGCTAAAAATCTTGTCAAGCGATAGAGGTGATTTGTCCCATGCTGTAAGAATATTCCTCTGTAAAGTCTGAAAACAGAACTGATCAAAAAGGTACCACTTTGAAGGTTGACACCATCAATCCCAGTATTTTCATGCAGGTACAGCAATGGAATTGAAGCAACAAACTTCCATCTCACTACTGAAATAATTTTAATATGTTCGGAGGAAAGATCACATTTGCTTGAAGGGTATCCAACAGAAGGCCCAAATACTTAAAAAGTAATATGATGGAACTAGCGATGCGAGGAAAAACAAAAAATCCCAGAACCAGAGCAAGACACAAGAACCTGTAAAAACCCTTGTAGCTGAAGCTAATTCGAAGCGAAGAGCGACAAATTGATAATGAAGGTCACCTAGTGCAAAACGAAGGAAAGGCTGATGAGCTGAAAATATAGGAATTTGTAGATACACATTCTTTGCGTCTATGCAAACCAAACATATCCTCATCTAAGAGGCAAAAACAACCAAATGGATTTCACCCAGAATTTGTAAATATGTACAAACGCATTGAGTGATTTCAAATCCAGAATCGGATGAAGTCTATACAGGATCGAGTAAAAACCTTAAAAATGTCCTGCCAAAGGGAACACCTGGATCCAACAGACCATGAACTGCGCAAAAAAGGTTTGTTCAATGCTGCCAAGACATGGGAAGCTGGAGTGCAAAGAACTGATGGAATTTGCAGAGATGTGCAAAACTCACATTTCAGATTATATTTTTGTCCACTTTAGCATGAAGGTCTACTCCATGTATATATATATATATTTTTCAAACAAAATCTGGAGACGAATACAGAGACTTAAAACGTCTAGGAACCAAAAATTGCTTATGCAGAATTTTCCAATCCTTAAAATCAAAAATACGACGAAGATAAAATAAAACCCTGCAAACACGCTTAGGTTTATGCGAGCCTATACTAGAAATCACAGAAGTAGAAATAACAGCAGAATTCTAATCCCAATTTTAACCGCCTCCCGTTTTGCGTAAAACGGCCGGCAGCTTCCTGGATGTAACAGGCCGTCAAAAGACGGCCAGTTAGCGGAAACTGACCGGATTTAAAAACAGGCAGCGATGTCTGTTAACATACAAGCGATCCGCCAGCTATAGAGCTGGCGGATCGCTTGTATAACATGGGTATAGTAGTTTTTTGCGATTTCGCAGGTGTGCGCAATTTTAAGGTTTGACATGTTTGGTGTCTATTTACCTGACATGACCCCATCATATATTTTACCAAACGTACGGCAGCGCTGAATACTGAAAAATGGCCTGGCCAGGAAGGGGGTGTAAACAGCAAGTGTCAGCAAGTGGTTAAGAACGCTCAGCCCCAATTAAAAAGGCAACCGTTTTATTCTGATGCCAAGTGAATTTGTCACAGCCCAGCTACTGCATCAATTATATGGCATAGGGTTTAATGACAAGCAAACATTAGATGTATTGTATTATGGGCTGAAACTGTGTTCTATGTTCCTTCAAGGAAAAAAAATGTGCATGCCACAGGCACCTAGATAAGCCTCTGCATAACTTTCACAAGCGCTTCCGCTCCTTAATGATTAAGAATCCCCAGGTAATACTGGCCTGTTAAATGAAGAGGTACACAGGACCATCGCAGGACAAAGCATAAGTACAGAGACTAGAAACAACTTGCTTCAAGTCAATTAGAGAAACTTCCAGGATTTAACTTATTTGGAATTAATCTCAGTTTTGTCAGCTACCTAGGGACTTCCAGGATTTAATACCTGGTATGAATCAACTAGCAGTTCTTGACAGTATAATCTTCAACAAAGAAAATAAACTAAAAAAAAAATAAACCAGAAGGAGACATTCATTCTGCTCAGGACAAGCAAAACTGGCAGGTGGGAGGGGTTATGTCCTTTTATACATTATATTGCCAAAAGTATTGGGACACTTGCCTTTACACGCACATGAACTTAAAGGGCATCCACGTCTTAGTCCGTAGGGTTCAATATTGAGTTGGCCCACCCTTCGCGCTATAACAGCTTCAAATCTTCTGGGAAGACTGTCCACAAGGTTTAGGAGTGTGTCTATGGGAATGTTTGACCATTCTTCCAGAAGCGTATTTGTGAGGTCAGGAACTGAAGTTGGACGAGAAGGCCTGGCTCCGGCTCCACTCTAATTCACCCCAAAAGTGTTCTATTGGGTTGAGGTCAGGACTCTCTGCAGGCCAGTCAAGTTCCTCCACCCCAAACTCGCTCATCCATGTCTTTATGGACCTTGCTTTGTGTACTGGTGCGCAGTCATGTTGGAACCGGAAGGGGCCATCCCCAAACTTGGGAGCATGAAGCTGTCCAAAATGTCTTGGTATGCTGATGCCTTAAGGAGTTCCCTTCACTGGAACTAAGGGGGCCAAGCCCAACCCCTGGAAAACAACCCCACACCATAATCCCCCCTCCACCAAACTTTACACTTGGCACAATGCAGTCAGGCAAGTACTTTTCTCCTGGCAACCGCCAAACCCAGACACGTCCATCGGATTGCCAGACAGAGAAGCGTGATCCATCACTCCAGAGAACACGTCTCCACTTCTCTAGAGTCCAGTGGAGGCGTGCTTTACACCACTGCATCCCACGCTTTGCATTGCACTTGGTGATGTAAGGCTTGGAGGCAGCTGCTCGGCCATGGGAACCCATTCCATGAAGCTCTCTACGCACTGTTGTGCCAATCTGAAGGCCACACGAAGTTTGGAGGTCTGTAGCTATTGACTCTGCAGACAGTTGGCGACTTCTGCGCACTTCAGCATGCGCTGACCCCACTCTGTCATTTTACTTGGCCTACCACTTTGGGGCTGAGTTGTTGTTTCCAGTTGCTTCCACTTTGTTATAATACCACTAAGGCCTTGCTCACACCAAATGCAGAGCAGATCCGGTCAGGTTTCTGCACACGCAGTGCAGTGGGTTGTGCCGCGTTTATGATGCGTTCCAGGCCCGTTTTGGTAAAAAAATAAAAAAAAATTAAAGTTTAACATGGGCTTTCAGGCACTTGCATGCATTTTTGATGCGTTCCAGAGCAGGTAAAATAGGGCTTGCTGCAGTTTTTTCACCTGCTCTGCATCTGGTCTGGATGTGAACTGGAGGTCAAAATACAATAGGAATACATTGGACGCAGTTTTGATCCAGTCTGCACCTGCTCTGGATCTGCTCCGCGCTTGGTGTGAACAAGGTCTAACAGTTGACTATTTAGTAGCAAGGAAACTTCACGGAACACCTGAATCCAATGATTTGGAGGGGTGTCTTAATAGTTTTGGCAATATAGTGTCAGTCCATTCATACACACACTTCAAATTTGGCCATGTGCTTTTGTACCCTAGCACCTGCATATGCAAGCCCTTTAAAATGAAACCTGCGCTGCCATTGTTTGACTTCTCCTTCACAAAGTCTGGCTTCCTGACCGATAACTTTTCATAGAAAGAGTGACTAATCTAGACTGAACATACTGATTTTGGCATCCATTTGTTGAAAATACTCGGAATAGGTTTTACATTTCTCTCAGTACAAGCACTCAGTCTCAGCGTTTTTGCAAACAGACCGTGACACGTTGATATAAAATGGACAAATGCGTGTAAATTTTTTTTGTAAAAACACAGCAAATGTGGGTTTTGGATGGTTTCCTTTGAAGTCTACGGGGACCAGAAGCGCAGAATTTGCCAAAACACTCATGTATTTTCTTCAAGCGAAGGGTGTTTTGCTACAAGCGACAAAACGCTCAAATGTGAACATGGCCATAGAAAGTAATGGGGGGGGGGTTAAGATACAAAACGCTGCGTGTGAATGAGGGCTTAAAAACTTTGTTGTCGGCATAAAACCAAATCCCATCTACTATTTTGATAAAGTGGGGAAGAACTTGGACTATCTTTTTTATTGATGTCTCCCTGATATTCCGTTACTTCCCATGGCGTTCACACATGTAATTACTTTTCACATTTGATACAATTTGTGACCAGCTGAAAATTTACTGAAGCAATATAAAATCACATGCAGGGTTTTACATTGTAATGGGAATAATTACTGAAAAATCGTTTTGTCTTCATAGTAAAATCTGTTTGTGTATATGACAGGACACTGGGAGTTAAATTCTTTAACCACTGGAATATGCATCTACCTTAAGGTGATTAGACACTGGCAAATCAATCAGGGCTCCAGAACCAGCCATGCATAACCCCTCCCACTCGTAGCCTACCTTAGCTTTGTAGCAAGCAGTACAGAATGGAAAGTCCTGTAGGGTACACCAAGAAACTGATTTTACAGGCAAGACAAAAATCCTGTTTTCATGATCGTACAGCACGGGACAAAGGAAGTTACTCTGTTTAAACATTGGGATGTTCAAAAGAAGGCCAACGTGTGGTGGGCAACGTGTACAGAATGACTAACAGGCCTAGGGAACAACAGCCCCACGTAGGGAACAGCGGACTAGAAACAGAGATATGTCTGAAGTCAAAGGGGCGGCCTGAAGAACCTTTTGGTCAAAACTTGCAGAGGACTGAACATCCACCCAATAGACTCGTTAAGGTAGTAACAGCCATTTCCAAACTGACAAAACCATATCCATTGGATTAACAGCACAACGCGAGCAGTCAGTTTTTAAAACTTTTTTAATTTTTTATGGTTTTTTTTTTAAAGTTTTTATTTTATATTATCTACAAAGTAAAAGTTTTTCCTTAACTTAAAAGTTACACCGTTGCTTTGAGGCAACAGCCACATCAAACCTGATTCATAAATAATAATCCATCAGTTTGATGATAAGAATCTGTACTGAATTGGTTTTCAAGTTTAGACATAAAAAGGGATTTTTAGAGTCTTGATTTTTTTTGTTTTTAAAGGTGAAGATAGCAGCAAGAATCACTCGTGTTATTTCCTTCGCTAGCTGATGAGTTCATAACTTAGAAGGGCCTTAAAAAATAAATAACTTCCAGTTATCAGCAAGCAAAGTTTGGGATTTTGGAGGATCGATGCAGTGTAGCCTGCAAATTCCTACATGCCTGTACGCAGTTCAAATCTTTCCCACTGCAAGATGATCAGTTAGCATTCCTAATGGAGGTTAGCAGAAATCACGATTTATTTATTTTTAGACAAAACTGGGAAATTCTAGATGCTGGGACTTCCACTGGAGGGAAGCAGAAAGTGGGAGAATTTTTGGCCTACAAAAGGGTTCCAGCCTTTTCACAGAAGCTCCAGATTCACAGCTGTTGTTGGTGATGTGCTTGCACTAGAAAAAAAGAACAAAAACCACTGTTATTATTCTACATTACTACAATACAGGATTATGTCCCTTATGACAACCAGATTGCATACATTAGAAGACTGCAATACACGGGAACAACATACCGTTTATAAAAAAATATATAAAAGCTATAAAAAGCATAAGCCATCATCAAAGCAGTGGCTTGTTAATATTAAAAGACCATTTTAAAAAACACACACAGTCTTGTTGCTCACCTGGAGGATGTGTCATATAGGGAAAGTGTGCAGTTGTAGAAACAGGAATGGGCTGTAAAGCACTCTGTGCTAGAGCAGCTTGAGGACCCCCTGGTGGTTGTGCTGTCATAAGCATCATAGGATGAGCTGTTGGATGGGAAGGGACCATTCCTGACTGTACATGAGCCTTAAAAAGAGAGGAAGCAGGAGAAGAATGAATAAACGTCTAAAGAAAAATACAACAAACATTTACAGAGTTAAATGGATTTCCATCATTTCATGCTCCTAAACTGAAACCCATCTGCACTGCATTTTGTATCACTCTGAGGAAAAAATGCAAACAGTGAAATGCCAATGTTTATATATAACATATATATTCACCTGCTGCACATGAGCCATGTGAGATGCGTTGGTATAGGCAGTCTGGACATGGGAGGGATGGATGGTGAACACAGTCTGCTGAGTGGGGAAGCTGTTTTGTGGGGACTGTGCATTGGAGCCTGGGTTCATTGAAGGTGGTGTAGGGGCAAGTCCAGTATGGTAAATTGCAGACTGTTGCTGCTGGTTAGCTAGGTGTAAAGCCTGGGCTGCCTGATGATGCTGATGATGCTGATGATGCTGCTATAAAGAAAAACCAAGCAAGTCAGTATACACATTAGCAACATAACGCTAAAAGGACAAATACACATACTTGTTACCACTGGTTGAGGCAATGTGAACAGAAGAAAGCTTAGGACACCAAAAAAGATGTTTCTATAGTTTCTAAAGGTAGCGCTGCTTACCTCTAAATACAATCTATTCAGGGGTGCGGAATTCCTATTGCCAGGGACCTGCAGTTCCAGGCAGGCAGTTTTTTTACATTTAGCCCTGCTTTGCACAAGGAGGACTAAATGTACAGTAGGGGAAGCCAACGCTTGTTTTTGTGATTGCCCGGGTCACTTGTAGAGCAGCCTGCTTGTCCGTCCATCCCCCATCCACCCCTCCCCGTCGTGGTTTCCGGGCTAACCCGCTCTTCTGGGGGATCCAGGACCACAGCAATCATTTCAGGATAGAGAGTGGGGAGCAGATCGGAGAACGTCCATTCTCTGATCTGCTCTGTGATCAGTGACACAGGAGTGTTGTATTCACAGCACTTCCCGTGTCAGCTGTCACATGTGGAGCTGTACAGAAGATTTGGATTTTCTGTACTGGAGGACAGGCTTCATAAAGAGTCTGTCACCTGTGACTGATATCACATAGGGGGTTGATAGCCCTTGAGTGATATCAATAAAGTTAAGCAAAATAATCTAATAAAAAAAAGTGATTAAAAAGGGTAAAAAATATATAAAATATAAATTAAAATAAAAACCAACACCACCATCTGTGTGCAAATAAATGCACGCATTGGGCATTGTGTGCGTGCGCAGAGTGCCCCCATTTCACCGTGTGCCATATTGTGGTAGACAGGCAGCAGCGCTCTCTAACATGCACAATGCCAATTAAAGGGAAAGTTCACGTTCCCATGTAACGTGAGAAAATGGAATTACCGGTTTAAATCTGCAGTGCCGTTCACAATAAATGAATGCACCTCTAAAGCGCACGTGTGCTGTGAACAAGTGCAGAAACCACCTTTTTTTGTGCGTTTAGGTGCATTGCAGCCTATTTTCAATGGGCTGCCTAACGCAGTGCAAGTCAACACAAAACAAGCACAAAGTATTGTGGTGTAATGAGGATTAAACCGTTACCTCCTGGACCTATTTTTATGTTAAACATATTTTGTGTACTAAAGGTAAACATAATGTAACATTGAATACATTTGTGGTCTTTGCCACTGATGGCAAACAAAGGTGTCATCCATTTAGAAATCGATGCTGGTAGAAATCTATGTTAGGAGTGTGTTATACACATTGCTGGTAGCCGACATAGCGGATGCTGGCTGCAGGTTTACAGTCACTCAGTGTTTGAGGATTATCAGTGCTGGATGTACATTTGGCATCCCACAGCCCCATTACTCACCAGGACAAGTAGTTTAAAAAATTTCCACACTCCTGCTATTACAGGTCTCATTATTGGCTTTAAGGAAATCTGAGTAAACTACCTCATCCCCAAACCGAGAAATAAGAAAGAACACTTCCTTTGATGCCATGGATATAAATCTACTGTTATATCAAGGGAGATAAAAGATTAAATGCAGGTAGATTTAGGCATTCTCCTAACATTGCTTTTGAGCAATGACATGCACTTCGATTAGTTCTCTTGCTAAACTCATTGAACAGAGCATGCATGCACACTGATGTGGAAGTTTCTAAATGTAAAAAGCTTGTTTGTAATGTAAACTATCAATGTCTCTTGTTGTTTCCTTTTTATTCTGTTAAGTATAAAGGGAATTTATAAAAACGGAAGCACACAGAATCTGGAGCAGTTGCCCATGCCAACCAATCAACTTCTCTCTTCAGTTTGTTTAGTTAAGCTTTGAAAAAGAGAAGCTGATTAGTCGCTATGGAGAACTGCTCCAAATCCTGTCTGCCCTAGTTTCTATATTCCCCTCCCCCAAAAGAAAAGAAAACGGTTCCATAAGTGCACACCACCTGTCAATCTAGGGCTGTAGTGACCTGTGCACAGTTTTTCTCATGCAGTCAAAACCAGCCCTCCTAGTTCTCCCTTTGGAGTACTGAACACCACTCCCCTATGTTCTGAAAATGAGAGAGGGAAGTGGATCTGTAATTAAGCAAAGACAAAAAGGGCAGAGCTGACACCATTCTTTGAAATTTCAATATAGAAAATGCCCTGTGTTGTCAGCCCACAAGCAAAAATTAAGAGTTAGGTGCACCGGCATTGAAGGCATCTTTAGCGGGACAAAGTCCATATACTGTAGTCATGTACTGCATGTTATTTCCATTTACCCGGACATGCACTTTAAGGGAAGGTATATTGAATTTCACCAAGAAAGATGGCAAAAAACAGAAAAACCCTAACACTGCTGATTAAATCCTGCAAGCAAAAATAATGCTACATTTGTGCTGGTCATCTTCAGCACAGATATCAAGCCAATATATTACCCCCTCCTTGCTTTTTGCCATATTTTCATTTACAGACAAAATCTGAACAGTCTGGCAGTTAGAAAGCTAGAATTCATACAAGTACATTAACCTCAATATACATGACTATTCAAACATGCACAGACACACACATATAGATTACATATGTTACCTGAACTGGGCTTGGTGCTGGGTGACTACCCCCATGCTGAGACTGTTGCTGTCCAGTGGGGGTTGCTGAAGGCTGAGGATGAGGGGGGTGAGCATGAAGAGCAGCACTTGGGTGGGCATACTGCTGACCTAGTGAGTTGGTAGAAACTAGGAGCCAGAAAGAGAAAAATATATAAACTTGTGTAAAAATACAAATATTTAAAATAAAACCGTTAATGCCCTGCCTTTTTCTTTAAATAGCAACAGAAACCTCACATTTACATGAGCAGATCTTCTCACTGCCAGGACCTACATAATGCAGCATCCCAGAAGCCATGCCATGTGAAAAGTTGCTCATGCATTGTCAAAGACCGAACAGCTATCGATTATTAGCCAGTCTGTCTGATACATGTGCCACGGGGCTTTCAGAATGCTGCATTTTATATTGCGATTTGACAAGGAAGGTTAAAACTAGGTTTAAAATAACTTCGCAGAAAACTAACCTCTCCATTTTAGTAACTAGGGAAAGCCCAAAGCCTAAACATAGCAATGTGATATAGTAGCAGAGTCCAACTTTGACGTTGGTAGCAAACTTATACTTACTAGGTACACATTCACATAGTATTCAGCAAAGGAAGGTCTGCATGGCAACACCCCAACTTTAACTAATAAAACTGAGAAATATTTGGGTATCGCCCATTATTTCAATACAACCAAAAGGGGGCATTTAAGCCAAGACAGCAGACCTTATTACTTAAAACACATCATATTAAAAATTTTTTAAAACATTCTATTAAAATTCTTCAAATGCAAAGAAAAAAAAATAAGTTAGTTGCTGGTCTCGATTTACATGCATATATAGATTATATGTCCATCCAAAATAGATAACCAAATCATAATCCATGTCATTAAAACTGAAATGCAGAGCACTTCTGGTTCATCTAAGGCGTTTATGCGTACTGCAGAACTCGATACGTTCCCCCCATGTGTGGCTTCTTCAGAACGACAGATGCGGCAAAAGTAAACCAGCTTGTTGTACTCCAACTAGAAAAAGAGGGACACACAAGGACCTGGATGTCAGCTCCTCCCAGGGGGTGCCATAGGAGAGGCAGAAAAGGAAAAGTCGCTAATGACCACCACATACAGGCTGGATCAGCAATTATGTAAATGTAATCCTCAGTTTATCTCCCTCAAAAGCAGAAGCTTTGACGTTTGGTAGTAAATCTACTCACAACCTGAATGGGAGAGGATTAAATATGCTCAAGGGTTTTTCTTGTTTGTCATGTTCCTAGAAGGGAAATCTTCTGGCAGCATTTAGAGAGCAAAAAGTAGTAGCGGGTGAAGTGGGTTGAGATTCAAGTGTATGTGGAACAGTATGCAGTATGTTAAAATTGTAGTTCTGGTTTGAAAGTAGTGAATTTAAAATTTGTTGAGCTCTGAGCAAGAAGTCGTCATAAATTTGAACGAGTGTGAGTGAGTGTGAATACATACACACAACCATGAATGCATGTGTGTGTGTGTATATGTATGAATACATATATATCTATATAGATATCTATCTATATAGATATATTCATATATATCTATCTGTATAGATAGATATCTATCTATATACACATATATACACACATACATACGACACTACCATGAATTTGTTCAAATTTATGACGGCTCCTTGCTCAGAGCTCAACAAATTCTAAATTCACTACTTTCAAACAAGAACTACAATTTAAACATACTGCACATTGTGGTAATAATTAAAATGATAAACAATGACATAGTTGAAAGTTAGATGGTAACAAAATGACAAGGCCGGGATTGTCCATACTCTATGGTCTACATTTACATGAAGCAAATGCTTAGCATGCCTATGAATGGTGACTGAAAGGAAAAGAAAACTGCAGAGGATGCAAAAGACAAGGATTCTCTGTTTGGAGATGTGGCAGCTGATCATCCAATAAGGGAATTCCCATGAGCATGTAAAAGCGCTTTTATAAGCCAGTAGGAATGCAACATGAAAAAACAAATCAAATATACAGATCGAATTGAGGGGCAAAAATAAACTTCCTATGCAACGCCATATATAATTACAGCTAGATAAATACAATAAAACATTTCAGGTGTTAAGTGAGACACCAGTAACTCCTCACAGAAAAATCCTGGTATCATGAATACACACAACTCCAGGGAGGAGCAAGGCATTAATCCTTTGGTGAAAGGAATGATGCAGAATTCAAGTCACCAGCGAGGGAGAGACATGTAACCAGAGGTTTGGTGCTACACCCTGTTAAGCTTTCCTAACAGGAAATTCCTGCCAGTTACAGGATCGCTAATGTCACATGACCGATAAGTTCATGGTGCAACTCGGGAAGCTGGTTGTGCAGCAAAAAACATTCAAGCAGATGCATATATACATAATATGCCCCTTTCACCTGGACAGACCAATTCGTTTACCACTATTATTTTCACGCCTTATACTTTCCTCCTAGAAACATAAGGCTGGCATACAAAATATTGCTTAGTCGAGGGATCCTTGTTGCATGTAATAGGCATTTAAACGATAGAAACCTAAATCACATGAATTCTTATGAAGTGCGATTCTTTCACCACCCCCTTTCCTATTCTCCTTAACATATATGTCACAAAAACTCAGTTATTGCCTTTGTGAAACCTGTGTTATTTTAAAGATTGATAACGTGTGACAATCTTTGTTAATTGACTTCAGCATGCAAAATGCCTGAAAACTTAGAGCATACAGTAAACAGAACATGTGTGATTCCAATTCATTTGATTCCTGGAGTCATGAATATCTAGCAAATTTAAAAGAAAAAAAAAAAAAAAAGAAGGGGGGGGGGGGGGGGAAATAGAAGAAAAAAAAAGGGTAAAGAATAGAAATCCACGGTAATGAACATATTTGCATCCCGTATGATCTTGTGAAGAGACTAATGCTAGGATGATGAATTCAGAGCAGTACACAAACCAAAATCTCCGGTCGGCTGAAAGTGCCTTTTTATTTTCACGATTCAGAAACAGTTCAATAAGCCTACCAAACTGCTTAACGTGTAAGGAATGCAGAAGTTTAAACTGCCCGATAACTCAAATATCAAGGAGTCCAGTAGTGGAATTAAATAATAGAAACTCTCCCTTTTAGATCTTGTGGAGATTGGAGGAGGAAAAAGTGGAAAAACAGTTTTGACGAAGAAGGAAGACTCCAAGGTGAGGGTGAACCAATGTAAAACTGTGGAGGAAAGATCTCGCTGTTGAAACCCCTACAGAGAAGAAACCAGGGGATGACACATCCAACCAGACTACATCTGTAACTGAAAAGGCTCATTTGGGTAGACTGAACAATAGTTTTAAACCTGCAGGCTCAGAAAAGGTCACAATATTCTCTGAAAATATTTTTCTTTCTCGTCTATTAAAGGGGCATAGGAAGTCTTTAAATCCCCACATTGGGCAACATTAATTACTAGTCTTGTTAGGCACATATATAAAACTTGCATAACATTTTAGCAGCATTCGCAAAGGTTTCCTTAAAGGTCACCCTTCAGAGATTTAATCTTTGCAATATCCTGTCCAGGGGACAGAATTGGGGTTGCTCGATTAGCTCTTAGCAAGGTGAACAGTCCCCCTCACCTACTCTCTGAAGTCTTATCTGCGGTTTTGCTGGTGTAATCACATTAGTGTGCAATGGGACCGTGGGCAATGCCATTTTATTTGAGCAGGAACTTTCTGCCCATCTTTCCTCATCTTTGCCCAGTTCCGCCTACTGCTGATCAAGTCCACCCCCTCCATGTAATCCTGTGGAGTAGTAGTGAGCAGGGCAGTAGGGGGAGGATGAAGCAAAGCTGTGCCAGCATACAATCTGGCAGCCAGGCTGCTCCGTCACTAGCAGTGAGTGGGAAAAGAGGAAGCAGAGCTGAGATTGGGGTGATTACAGCAGTGCTGATGGGTGCATCTGGGAAGTGGCATGCGTCTCCCAAAGAATACACAGCTCACCTCTCACACACATTGAGCCACCCAAATCAACACCAACATGTTGGGACAAGGTGGTGTGGAGGCCCAGGACTTCCTTCTTCCCAAAATGGTTTTGCTTTTTGACAACCAGGACATTGTTCTTCCATCCCTGTGTCTGGCTCTTGTTCACCAGTGTCAGGATGTGGTTCGGGCGGCGAGAGTCTCCCTCTTTAAGGAAAACACATTCCCTTTTTAACAACCCGAATAGACTCAGTAGGGGTGCTGTGGCCTCTCTAGGTGGCTCAGGCAGACTATCATCCAAGCTTATGGCCCCAAGGACCTGGTTGCACCCTTTTCCGTCAAGGCACACTCTACTACTAGGATCAGTGAATGTAAGTTGGGGTTTTCAGCAACAATCTGTATTCCATTTGCAAAGCGTTCATGTTCTACCAGGATGACAGCATAGTCGCATCGATGTCAGTGTTGGGCATAAGGTTCTAGGAGCCCACATATCTAGTTCTTTGTTTTCCGGGGCCTGTTAATATTCATTGGCCCTTTGTCCACCCATCAGTTAGCCTACCGTTAAAGGTTCTGAAGGGTAAATAATTCCTATGCCACTCAATGGATGAGAAAGAAAATAGGGTTTTTAAAACCAACCGTAAAAAAATTAAATACAAAATAAAACTTTACTTTGAGTCCACTGAGGGACACAGGCCGCACCCCCTTTGTTTATTATCATGCTCTTGGTACTGATTGTTACAAAACCGAGGCATGGTGACAGTGGGAGAGATTATTCTGGGCTGGCCTTCAGGGGGATTGGACACTAGCAAACTGTAGATGGAAATATAACCCAAAACGACTTCCTGTGTCCCTCAATGGACTCCAAGAAAATGATTTTTATGGAGGGCAATGGCGAGGATCTGCATGTGCTTTAAGCCAGGCTGGGTAGGACTACAAGGATCTAACTACATCCAGCGTGTCACCAAGCTAGCAGTTGCTTGACGCTCTGCCAAAAAAAGCAGAAGAGAAAAGACTGACAGAAGAATCACAGCAGTGATTCTGTCCTACCTTCTGAAGCTAGGCAAAAAACTGAGGCTACGGTCAGCAGGTGGAAGGTTGGCCACCATCAGGGGCCCTAGACTGTTTTTTGTGACCAGCAACCAACTATTGCAGGTGGCGCTATAACCCAGTGGTACCAGATCCACGATCTTCACTGTGTACTTCAATGAATGGTAGAGTGGATTCTATAACAAACTGGTAAATTTCTGCCTTCAATTTTAAAAAGGGGTTGGCCTGTATGCGTGGTACATTGTTCACATGTTATGGCTGCTGAAGAGCTTTTTCAAACCTGCCCCTAGTCAACATTTTGTAGATGGTGGAAGGGACCTCAAAATCGGATTGGCTTACAGTAAATGGCATCTAACCCAATGACTAGTTCACTTTTGAAGCTGTACAGAAATGACTGTATACTATTAGGAGTGTGGCTAGATTGTAATGAAATGAGCAAAAAGGTCATGGTTTAAGGTAGCATCTCTTACCATACATAGCATGTGTTTGCTCTGGAGCTCCATACTGTGCACCTGATGAAGACACTAACCCAGCCTGTGCATGTGCTGGAGGAGCCATCATTCTGGAATTTCCTTGAATTACAGGACTATATACATGTGGATGCTGAAACACAAAGAACAGGAAGCTGTGTTAAAAATCAAATAGAAAGTGGTTTAAAATGAAATACAGCCGCCCGCCCAAACAAAAAAGCTAGAAAGCAGAGTTGTTTTAACAGTCGTCCTGCATGCCATAATACAACATGGAGGAATAGTTACGCTTTAGAACAAAATACCCATTAGAGTTATTTTCAAAAAGCAAGTACTCTGGAAGGTCATGTATAATTAAATCTCATTGTCACTTAAACTCTGAATATCGTACTAACAAGAACCCGCTTCCAGTGAAAAGGCAACTAAAAGAATAAAGAAAATCTTAAAAATCAATGTTACCTGCGATTGATAGTGTTGCACATGCTGCATGAGAGGCTGGCTAGGGAACTGCTGCGGGCTATAAGTAACATACTGTGTAGAATAGGCAGGTGATGTAGCAACTAGAGGAGGTCCTGCTGCAGACACTGGATGCATCATTGTGTTCTGGTGATGCTGATCCTGTCTCTGCTGGGGCATATTTGGTACTGCAAGACAAAATTAAACACTTAGCAGCGTATCAATTATCAATTATTTTCTTACATTATAGAACGTCAGCCTCAGGTTATGCAGACAAACAGAAGTAAGCATTCCTAGCTCCATACTAAAGTGTTCATTCCTAATAAGGGGGGTGTATGTGGAATGTACATACGCGTGTGTGTACGTATGTGTGCGTGTCGACGTGCAATTGTCTGCAAGTAAAAGCACTCTGTTCTAGAAATGTAAAGGCTGAATTCACACCTTAGGGTTTTTGCTTAATGTTTTCCGTTGAGATGCTTCTCTATTTCAACACACGTATAAGATGCGCGTCAGCACACGTCTTGACGCACATAAACACATGATGCATTTCGACATGCACGGAGATGAGCTTTGACATTTAATATACAAGTGCATTACTACACATACTGAAAATGTGCAATGACGCACATTAACACTCGTTGACGACTATCGATGCATTTACATTGATTTAAAAGAAAAGCCTTTGCGGGGGCATAGCTATGATATCGGCATAAGTATTTGTATCTATTAGTTCAGCCATTGTAAGCTTCGTAAATGCTGACTTTTACACATTTCAATAAAAAAGTTGGGGAGGAACTAGGTTTTATGTTAAAATAATTCACTTATGTTCTGAACAATTATTTCCACCACCCACAAAAAAAAAGCAAAACCCACAATCTAGTACTCGAAATGCATGTACTTGTTGTGGATTAGCAAACCTTATTACATTTAATATTTACTATTTTGCAAGATCTTTCGAATTAATTTGACCCCAATATCTTCTATCCCAATTTGTCTGCTGTATAGGGTTAGTGCAACAATTACGATTAAGGTTTAATCAATTAAGGCCCCTTTCACATGGGCGGTCTATGTTAGTCTAGGGCAGGGCTAGGCAACCTTGGCTCTCTCCAGCTGTGTTGAGGCTACAAATTCCATTAACCTTCCGCCTCTCGGAGTCATGCCTGTGGCTTGCAATGCCTTATGGGATTTGTAGTTTCAGCACAGCTGGAGAGCTGAGGTTGCCTATCCCTGGTCCATGGGCAGCTGGGTGTAAACAGACCCGGTTACCACCGACTTCGGCCAGGAAAAACAGGACAGAGTTGCGTTTTGCAGGACCTGAATGTGCCAGATCGGGGGTTATCTGATGTAAATGGACACATGTCCATTTACATCCAATTCCCCATAAACCGACAGGAGGTCCGGCAGCGTCTGGAAAGACACCGATGTCACAGCGGTGACATCCGATCCATACTGCTCCGTCCGATCAGGAAGATGCAGATCCCTCCTCCTGTTCAGCCCGTGTGAAAGGGCCTATAGCTGGTCATACACGGCAATCATTTTCTTAGTTTAACCTGCGGGCTGAAGAAAATATTAGATTCCTCCATCTACGCTTACGAGCGAGGAATCTCCTGCTGCCTTCATTGTATTCTTCACAGCTGCCGCTGTCCGAATACCTGAACAAAGCCGGCAGCTCACTGGCTGCCCGCACCGTTCATTCGAAGATTTCTCGACCAGCTTCTTTGATCAGCTGATCAAGGGATGCCAGGCGAAAGGGTGCCGACAGGGGCACACTGTGCAAATTCCAACTGGTTCATCAAGAACCAGCTGAAAGTCACAGTGTATGGCCACCTTAAGGTTTCCTGACACCCTTAACCCATTAGTATGCCGACATGAGGAGAGCCAGGAAACAACAGTTGTTGATTACATTTAAAATCAATAGCTTTTTTTTTTCTTCAAATAAGTGTATGGTAAATAATGGCAAAGCCTACTTAATAATCCAGAACTGTCAAAACAGACAATCGGATAGTGTGATAATGAAAACATGCAACACATACGCGCCAGTCTCACCTTTACCTGCTCTGTATGTCTTGGCCTGATTAACTGGCATTGTCGTCATTGGAATTGAATATAATGGCTGAAACAAAAGTATAATACCATGAGAAATAATGGCCCAACAAGTAACATGAAGTGTACATAAAACCAAAGATTAGAAGTCATTTGAAGGCCAGAGGTCAACTGCACACAGGATTTCCCTTTACCCAGAAATAGAGAGACCTATAGGACCAATGCAAATGGCCATTGGCCCAATACATTTCTATAATGGTTGAAATTGGGCATGTTCTCTGTATGACCACAAAAACGAAAAAAAAAAAAAAAAAAAGAAGAAGAAGGTCAGGCCAAAACCGAAAATATTTATAGTTAAACTTTTTCACATTTTTAAAAATATTTTTTTATAAAACTTAATTTTTTTATATTTATTTCCCTTTTAAAATAGAAAAAAGATTGGGGACACAGAGTCCAATCTCTTTTTCTGCAGCCCCTGTTATAAATGAACAGGAATCCTCTGAGTTAATTTATAACATGAGGACATGGTATGTTTACTATAACAACAACTATGAATGAACAGGAGGTGATGTAAATCTCTTCACATTCATTCATAATTGAGGATATAGTGAACATGCCATATCCTCAATTATGCACAAACACTCAGCGATCACTGATCGCTGAGTGTTTGCATTGGCTCTCCTTGCTGACAGCCGTCACAGGAGACTGAGCAGCGGTGCAGTGAGGAGAGCTCACCCTCCTGTGACAGCGCGGCCTGTCTCTGCCGCCACACCGCTTTGCCGATCTGTGACAGGAGGCTGAGCGGTGTGGGAGGAGAGACGCCGGCCGCTCACAGCGCTCTCCTGCCACAGCATTATGCCAAAAGTGCCATTTTCGGCCGATATATCGGTGCATCCCTAATAAAAGTGTAAATTTTAACCCAAGTTATGTAAACAGACCTTTTACATAAGGAAGCCAATGGACAGCCTGGAAAAGAGCTTAACCGCTTTAGGATTGAGCACCTGTCCTGAAGCAGTCACACCAAGAACACAGGCTGCTGCAGCTGTATAGCCATCGGATCACTTGTACGTTGTAGTGCTGTGTGCCCCTTCTCCCTCCAGCTTCCCTGTCCGGGGACCAGCACAACGGGTCTCCATTGACCGATCAGAGGGAGATCAGTAGACTTCCAGCTGCCTATTTGTCCTTTGATCACTGGACCCGGAAGTGATGTGTATTACATCTATAATTGTTTGGGTGTCTGAAGAAGTTTTCTAGCAAAAAATTCAGATTTTATCATCATGTGGGTGCAAATATCAAGAAATTGCTCCGGCCAGCAAGGGGTAAAGCTGTAGCTGCTGGCTCAAAAGAAGAACACAATAATATGAAATAATGCAAATTTACCTGGCTAAAAATTGTTCATGTTATATTTGCCTAAACTATAATGAGGAAGTCTGGTACAAAAAAAAAAACCACAATGCATATCGCCCTAGACACAACTGCAGGGCCAACGCCAACATTTATTCAGAATTACAAAACAATATCCCACCCATGTTTTAAACTGTGATCCCCAAAGCACTTTAAGATTTTCAAAAGTCCATAATAACTACTTCTGAAACTATACGGTCCATTTTCCATGCTCCCTTAAAGTAGTCCTTGCATCAAAAATGAAATAATTCACTGGTCAGTAGCTACCTCTCGCTATTCCTGTATTAAAAACGAAAAAACCCACACACAAAATTACATCAGCCAAGAAACTTTAGGTGAAGTGGCCGCAAGCCGAGGTCTAACTTTGGTAGTTTTACTGGTGATTTGGCTTCTGTTTTTTCACTTGCATTTCTAAATGCTTGGACGGGATGGGGCTATAGGGGGTACTAAAAAGCAAATACTTGATTTTTGATGCAAGGTCCACTTTAACTGTACATACTGAAAAGTAAACTGCTTTTTTATGTTATTACCTGCACACCAGGGCTTACAGGAACTGGATACATCATATTTGGTGCAAAACATACTGGCTGTGTGTATACCGGGGTTGGCTGTTGATGAGCCACCATTGAAGGACTTGGCTGAGCTTGTGGTCGAGGTGAGGTTGGTGTTGTGGAAGGTTTAGGCTGCAAGAAAAATAAAATAAATAAACTTGTGCATGTAAACATCCAAAAGACCAAAAAAAAAAAAAAACGCAGATAAAATGACACCTGCAATCACTTCATTAGAATAAACCTCTAAAGCAGTTCTACGTGGCCAGAGAAATTGACAGGAGATCTTAACTGATTTATAAACTTTTTGGCAGAAATCTCTTACCTTACCCTAATTTATCAGTGTGTCCATGTTGGTGGAATCTCCCTGTACCTTTTGATAACTAGGAGAAGCTGCCTTCACCAGGTAAAACAGGCAAAAATCCTGACAGAGCATCCCCATGGCAGAAAAAAAAATAAAACTCCAGCATCTTTATAAATTAGTTCCCCAGTTATAGAGCTTTAAAAATCACTGAAACTTCACAGTATTCCCAATTTTGGGCCAGAATAGCAAAACTGTTAAAAGTAAAAAAAATAAAATAATTTGGCCTGGATTGCAAAAGGTAAAGCACCCACATTTTTGCAGTAAAATATGTTACAGGGCCACCGTTCCGAGAACATTGTCTACAGTAAACCTGTCATAAGAAATTTGTGGGACAGCCATTCCTCTTCATATAAAGCTAGCTCCAAGGCAGTTACATTGCCCATCTGGCTTCATTAGTTTTTAACCTAGAGGTACCGTGTTTCCCCAAAAGTAAGACCTACCCCGATAGTAAGACCTAGCGCTATCTTCAGTGATTTCTGTAATATAAGACCTACCTCGAAAATAAGACCTAGTTCGGTGGTAGGTCTTATATTGCAGAAATCCGCTAGGTCTTACTTTCGGGGTAGCTGCACATAAACTGTGTAAAGACCGGCCGCAGCTCCCGCCCCGCCCACACACCAGCCGGCCGCAGCTCC